TTTGGAACTATGAATGTTTATTTCTTTTCCATAGGTTGCAACAGGTTTGAAGTGACCCTAGAGAAATCCAATAAGAACTTCTCCAAAAAGATTCAGCAGGTAGGCAGTGATAGTGGTTGCTATAACAATATTTGATTTATATGAGATTTTGTCAAAGCTGGGACTTTGGTCATGTTATTTATGAGCTCTTTGAATCTTTTTTCTTTCTTTCTATTGATGCAGAGATCTCTGCCCATATGTCACATGTCCAAGATCCTCTTTCACAAGCAGAAACTGTGAATGCATGTTAAAAAATAAGTCAAGGCCCCGTAACTGGTACAGGGTCCCCAGTGCCTTTTTAGTGTTGTTGTTGAAGGAATATTTGCTAAGTCTTGTCAAAAACGTTTAATTGGGTCTAATGATTTGCTGTTTTCCAGATCCATGTGGTTTCCCAGTTTAAGATTTTGGTCAGCCTGTTAGGTAAGAAAAGGGGTTGCATTTGTATTTCAAGTGTCAAAAAACAAAAGCTGTGACCTAATGAACTCTTTCATGGTTAATGTAATTGAAATTCCCTAACAGTAACCTAACATGGTCCAAACCAGATACAGAAGGGTACATGGGTAATAAAGGTGACAGCATCCCCCCAAATTTGAACTCTCTTCTTCAAGGAGTCTCACTTTATTGATTTATTCATTCAACCTTTCATTCAATAATTGATCAAATATTTTTTGAGCCCTCCTCTATGCGATACATAGACAATACATTAGGGACACGAAGTTCAGTGAGATATGGTTCCCATCGTCAATACTTGCATTATGATAATTCATGATACAATGTGGTAAGTTATAGTGGAAATTTATAAAAAGTGTGATGGGATCTTAATCACGGAAGGGACTGTCCTGTCTAGTGAATGACTAGAATTTTTTTTTTTAAATCAGTTTCTTGACCTTATCTGTCTGCATTACTTGCTTTTGTAATTTCCTAATGAATTTTCCCTTTTACTATGCCCTTATTATTTTTAATTATTACTTTATTCTTTTTTTTTTTTTTTACAAAATTGACCTGAATCTTTTTTTTTATTTTTTATTTCCTTTTTTTTTTAAAAAATACATTCAATCACATTATTTAGCTTACAAGGTGATCATTTCAGTATGTGAACATTTCTCTCTGGTCGAGTTGATCAAAATATAACAACATTACCTCCCTGTCTCAACAATGCTGTCTTCATATCTCACCTCCAAATGTTCTTCCCCAGGCCCCACTCCTCCACACACACCACATCTGGCATTCACATCCACCTCTTGTGTTTGTATATCCTTTAGCCTGTCAATTTCAGTTATAGAGTGCGGACATTCGGTATATATTAAGTGGGGACATACCGTGTCTCTCCTTCATAGCCTGGCTTGCTTCACTCGTGAATGACTAGAATTTTGACAGGAAGGGGACCAGCAGTTAGCGTAATGGCTATGTCATTGGACTCCCATGTAATTGACCATGGTTGGAGTCCCGGACCCCATAGCTTAAACTCACGTCGGACGCGTGTGTGTGTGTACCCAAGATCCCGAGAGGAGAATGGAGGAGAAGGGATTGCGGCATGGCCATCCCCCCTGGGGGGTGATTTCTCGCTTTCTGTCTCTCTGTCTTTCTGGTGAGTGCATGCTCCCTATAGCAAAAACCTCTCAAAAAAAAAAAATTTCTATAGGACGAAAGAGGTGGACAGACCAGTGTAAGGGAGAGGGAACGACTTGAATACAGGCCCTGGGGTGTGGTGGTACCTGGCAGGTAGTTAATTGTGGCCACACCTGGGATACGTGGTGGAGGATATCAGGTATGAGACAGATCAAGAAGGGTAAAAACCTTGTTGAAAAGCTATGGTTTCATGGAAGGCAGCCAGAGTAACCTTTTATTGACAAGCAGAGGGCTAGAGACTTGCCTCATACTCTGTATGTTCAACCCGGAAAGGAGGGCAAAGAGAAGAATCTTTTTTTAGAGATTTTGGCTGTAAGGTACATGCACTTGTCAGACAGAAAGTGAGAAACTCCCCCCCTCCCCGGGGGGATGGCCATCCTACAATCCCTTCTCCATTCTCCTTTTGGGATTTTGGCCACACATGTACATGTTCCCTGTGTGAGTTTCAAGCCTCCGGGTCAGGGACTCGAATTACAGTCGACAACGTGGGAGTCCAGTGCCTTAACCACCATGCCACCTGCTGGCCCTAAGCAGAATCTTTTAAACTTAGTTCCTAAGCCCACAGATGAACACTTAAGATAACTAAATCTTCATGACTAGAACTAGATAGGAGATCTGGGTGAAATTACTATTTTGCTTCTTTGCTAGAAAAGAAATCCCTACCGTGGGTTTGTACAGAATTCACAGGGGCTAGGACCACTACATGGCATAATGGCTATGTTGCTTGACTCCAACAGTTGACTGCAGTTCGAGTCCCAGACTTGGCAACTTAAAACTCATGCTGGGCTCTCGTGCTTGTGCATGCAAAATCCTGAGAGGAGAGTGGAGGAGAAGGGATTGTAGCGTGGCCATCCACCCTAGGGGGTGATTTCTTGCTTTCTGTCTCTCAGTCTCTTTCTGTCTCTCCAGTGAGTGCATGCACGCCCTATAGCAAAATTTCCTCTCTAAAAAAGAGAATCCATAGGGAATTTCCTTTCTCTAACTGGAAACCAGCCACATAAAGCTGTCAACCTAAGTAGCTTTGAAAAAGCCATTTCTTATACAGAAATTCCATATCACATTTCCAGAGTTGAGGACAGAGTAGAAGAGTGCTTTGGAAGTGAAAGCTCTTTTATGCAAGACAGCCCAATTCTTTAAGGACCAAAGTACTCAGATTCAGAGATTGAGTGACCTCCTACGAGTTTTATACCAGTAATAACGTGGAATGAATTACTGTTAGTGAAACTGAAGGTACATCTTCAACCAATGCCTGCTATTTGGTTCTTCTAGACATTACACAGTTACTTTGTTGTCTTGAAGGTGTCAATACTAGAGAACCGTGATTGTTTATAGTGACGTTTACTTCCTCCCAAACAGAAAATAATATTTATGTCCATGACCTGTTGACCTTTCAACAAATCACTACAGTGTCAAAGGCAAAGGGAGCATCACTGTTCACGTGTGACCTCCAGGTAAGTGCAAGGTGAACCTTGGCTTTGTGCTTTAACTGGTGGTCTTCCCTACCTCATCCCCACTAGGTAGGATCACTTTGATGATATAAACTCAGCAGACACCACAGAGAATATTTGGTTTTGGATTGCATTAGAGACATTAAACTCCTTTAGCATTTGGTATGAAGTTTGCATTCCTATGCATGTGTTAATATGAACACCAGACTAACCAGTGACAGGAGACAGCTAACCAAAGGTAGAAAAGGCAAGCAAAATCATCACAATATTATGAACAAAATTATAAGACATTAAGCTGACTCTTACTCTAAACAGGTCACTGTGGTCTTTGTCTTTAGAGCATTTTCATTGTTCAGAAAAGTCATTTCTTTGACTAGTTTCATTGCCTAGTGGTTAAAGAGCCGGATCCCACATGACCACTACAGTTTGAATCTCAGTGGTAGCTTGAAAAACATGCCAAGTGTATATCTGTGTGTGTGTGTGTTTGTGTGTGTGTGTGCTGCACACATTCCCTGAATCCCAGTAGGATGGAGAAATGGAGGAGAAGGGATTGTGGCATGACCATACCCCATTGGAGGGTGTTCTTCCACCCTCTACCCTCTCCGGTCTTCTTATCTATTCCTGGTGAGTGCATATACACTCTGGCAATTATAAAAAAGACATCTCTCCAGATTTTTGCCAGTTCATCATTTTTTTTTTTTTAATTTTGAGAGTTTTTTGGTTTTTTTGCTATAGGGTGTGTTTGCTTGCCAGAGAGACAGAGGAAGGCAGAAATTGAAAAAGCCATGCTGTAATCCCTTCTCCTCCATTCTCTGGGATTTTGGGTATGCATGCACATGTGCCTGGTGTGATTTTCAAGCCACCAGATCGAGACTCAAGTCGTGGTCGGCCATGTGGGAGTCCAGTGACATAACTGTAACCCCATCTGCAGGCCAGTTCATCATCTTTACATTCTTTAAAATCTGACTCACCTCTCTACTCAACTCTGGTTACTTTTTAGTATTTATGGTCTGTGTTGATACTACATTGTTTCACACTTTGGAATTTTCTTTTTCCCGGTCTTTTAAAGAATTGAAAGTAGGCCTTCTGTCACTGGTACATGCTAATCTCTACCCTGGCATGTATTGACCGCTGTGAGCAATAAACACTTGGGCGGGAGAAAGGAAGCAGTTATATAGGGGAAGTCCTGCCCTGGAAGTTTCTTCTCTTTATTTTTGAATGTTTATGTGGTTCACTGGTGCTAGGGTCTTTGACAGCCCTTGAGGAGAAAGTGTTCTTTAGCCAGTTGGTCAGAGTACATCTTAGAGAATGGTGTTTTGCTCAGCACTCCTGGCAGCCTGACTTCATATTACAGGGGGTTTCAGACTAGTAGCCATGTCAAGGTAGGAAATCTCCAGTCCAGCTGTCACTCAGAGTCACATGCACATCCTCATCTGCCCTGGGTGTCTCTCCTCAGCACACAGAGACAGGAGAGGAGGTGTTGCGGATGTGCGTTGCTGTGAAGAAGAAGCTGCAGCTCTATTTCTGGAAGGACAGGGAATTCCATGAATTGCAGGTAAAGTCCACTGTTCCCTGGTCTGTGGGTTGGGTAGGAGCTGTTGCTATCATTGACCTACACCTTGAAAGATTTCCTGTTCAGTTCTAGCAAAGTTCAGAACCCCAGTCTTACAGCTTTCCTTGGAAGAACCCTCCGATATAAGTACATGAGAGTTTGCTCATAATCTCTTGTAATATAATCTTTGTGCTTCTACAGATTGGTTTATTTCTGTGTGGGTTTTCACCCTTACCAAGTGTACTTTGTCCAGGACACAAATGACCTACATTTTTGTTAAGGGTAGTTTCCTGGCCTTGTGCTTGGAGAATTGTGCTCACATGAGGGTAAGGGTTATTTTCAGAATGGAGGTAGAATAATAGGGAGGTCATTTTTCCTGTTTTTTCTTTACTGGCTTTTAAACTGAATTCTTGCTGTCTTTCTTCAGGGGGACTTCAGTGTACCAGATGTGCCCAAGTCCATGGCATGGTGCGAAAATTCTATCTGTGTGGGTTTTAAGAGAGACTACTACCTAATAAGGGTAAAACTTCATTATTTTGCAAATATCATCTGTTTACCTTGGGGAGATGATTATTTGCTTCTGACTTACAGATCAAGAGACCATCTTCGGTAAAGCCATGGGCATAACAGAGTTTGTGCTTGTTTGTATATTTAGTTACTTTTTGGGCTTTTAGAATTTTCCAGAAATAAAGTGGCTATGACTTAAGGCAACAGAGGCAACTCTCAGTTCTGCTTTAGTTTTCCATGCACGTATCAAATCTGACAGCCAATGAGAGCTGGTTGCCTTTGCCCAACAGCCTTGTCTTGGACGACTATCCTAAGACTTCAGTGCTCAGAAATTCCAAACTAATTTTAGGATCCACTTAAATACTGTTAAGACTTTGAGTTATCTGCCCCCCCAAAATCTTTTAGTATATTTGTTTTAGAAATTATTTCTGTATTTTTAAGTTCAAAGGCCATATGTATTTATTATATTTTTTTTTCTTTTTTTTTTGGAGAGATTTTCGCTATAGGGCGCGTGCGCTCGCCAGACAGACAGAGAGAGACGTAGAGACAGAAAGCGAGAAATCACCCCCCAGGGGGGATGGTCACGCCGCAATCCCTTCTCCTCCATTCTCCTCTCGGGATCTTGGGCACGCACGCACATGCGCCCGGCGTGAGTTTTAAGCCACCGGGTCCGGGACACGAACCGCGGTCGACTACGTGGGAGTCCAGCGACATAGCCATTATGCTAACTGCTGGTTCCCTGTATTTATTATATAAAATAACATGTAGATAGGGAAATAAAGAAGTACAAATCATCCATAATCTCCCACTTAGAAACAGCACTTTTTTTTTGAGAGATTTTCACTGTAGGGCGCGTGCGCTCGCCAGACAGAGACATAGAGACAGAAAGCGAGAAATCACCCCCCAGGGGGGATGGTCACGCCGCAATCCCTTCTCCTCCATTCTCCTCTCAGGATCTTGGGCACGCATGCACACGCGCCCGGCGTGAGTTTTAAGCCACTGGGCCCGGGACACGAACCGCGGTCGACTACGTGGGAGTCCAGCGACATAGCCATTACGCTAACTGCTGGTTCCCATAGAAACAGCACTTTTGATGAGTGGCTTTCTCCTGTTTATAAAAATATCATATTAGGGGACCAGCAGGTGGCATGGTGTTTAAAGGCCCTGGGCTCCCACATGGCTGACCGTGGTTCAAATCCCAGACCTGACAGCTTGCTTTTTCACTTTCCCTCTCTCTCTGATCAAACTGGAAAATAATAATAATAAATAAAGTTAAATAAAAATAATTCTTTAAAAAAATACCATGTTAGACTGTTTTATAACCTGCTTTTTCTTCTCTTAAAATAAATAGTAAGTACCCACATTTCTTTCTTCCACATGCTTACTATATGTAGAAATGATTAATATGGCATTCATTTCATATTGGGTCGTCTGAGAAGTCATGACGCATTTTTGCATAGAAAAATACGTCATGACTTTTCTGACAACTCAGTAGAATAATCTGTATCTACTAACGTCATACCCCCTCTCAGTCCAGGCTGGACAGTTCTGGAAGGCCTTCTCCCTACCCCTCTGTGAGCTCTTTATTGTCTATCTTATTAATATGTTTGTTCTGTACTCATATTATAGAAATATCTTAATTTTATCAGCATCAGAGTTGCAAGCTCCTGGAGGAGTCGCTGTCGTGCGATTGACTAAATAGCAACCAGGTACAGAGATGCTGAGAGCAGTCTGCAGCAGGCGGGGGACGGAGCCAGAGGTGGAGTGGGGCTCTGTCTTCTGTTTGCCTTGCGAGCTGCCTTCACCTTCTTAAATGTGGAGTTTTCTGAGGGTGGGAACTCTTGCCTTAGGACCAAACTGTTCACAAGTTATTTATCTACATACAGTCAAATTAATTCTTTTTGGTATGCAGTTCATGTTTTGACAGATGCCTAGAGTTGTGTAACTAACATCACAATCGGGAACCAGAATGATTCCTTTACCCCCTAGAATTCCTTCACAGTGCCCCATTTGAAGGCATTCCTCTGCCAGCTCCCAAACCTGATACCCAGTGGTCTATTTTTGCTATTTTAGAATACCATGTAAATGGAGTTGTAGGGAATTTGCATACCTGTGTGTCTTTTATTTACTTTTATTTCTGCTATAGGGTACATGTTGTTGCTAGAGATAGAGAGAGGGGGAAAGTGAGAAATCGTCCCCCCGTTGGGATAGCCACTCCACAGCCCCTTCTCTTTTTCCACCAACACGCATGCGCGCGCACACACACACACACACACACACACACACACACAGTGTGTTTTTCAGGTTGCCAAGTCTGAGACTAAAACCAGACCTTGAACTGCACAGTCAGCCATGTGGGATCCAGATGCCTTAACCTCTACACCATCTACTAGTCTTATGTGTGTGTCTTTTGTTTGTTTGTTTGTTTTCGAAACAGAAGGAGAAGGAAAAATAAAGGGGGAGAGATTGAAAGGGTTTTTTTGGTTTTGTTTTTTTGAATTTTTGGCACAAGGCATGTGCATTCACTGAAGAGAGAAAGTGACAAATCATCCCCTCAGTGGGAATGGCCATGTCACAGTCCCACCTCTTCCATTCTTCTCTCAGAATTTTGGGCATGCATGTACACATGCCTGGCATGTTTTTTTAAATCCCCGAATTCGGGACTTGACTATGGAATAGGCCATATGGGATCCATTACCTTAACCAACACACCACCTGCTGGTTTATGATAAGCATTTTTGACAAGGTTTAACCATTAAAGCTGTCTCTTCCCAGTCTCCCAGTTAGCTAGGATTACAAGTGTGTGGTCTAGGATCTGAACTGCGGCCTCCCATGTTTTCTTTTAAATTTTTTCAATATTTAGGTCTTTATCTCCTTAGTTTATTCCTAAGCATTTTATTATTTCATAGCTATCGTAAATGAAATTGTTTTCTTAATTTCTCTATTAGTTTGTTTTTAGTGTTGAGAAATGCTGGATTTTTAAAAATTATTTATTTAATTTTATTTATTTTTAGGTTGTCAGGAAAGTCATGACATACTTTTCTTTCTTTTATGACATATTTTTCTGTGCAAAAATGTGTCATGATTTTCCTGATGACTCATTATTATTTTAAAAATTTGCTACGGGGGGGACCAGTAGTTAGCGTAATGGCTATGTCACTGAACTCCCACGTAGACGACTATGGTTCGAGTCCCGGACTCAGTGGCTTAAACTCATGCCGGGCGCATGTGCGTGCATACCCAAGATCCTGAGAGGAGAATGGAGAAGGGATTGTGGCGTGGCCATCCCCCCTGGGGGGTGATTTCTCACTTTCTATCTCTCTGTCTCTCTCTGTCTGTCTGGCGAGCACATGTGCCCTATAGCAAAAACCTCTCCAAAAAAAGAAAAAAAAATTTGCTACAGGGTGTACGTGCTCACCAGAAAGAGACAGAGAAAATGAGAAAGAAAGCAAGATGCCCAGTCTGAGACTCAAACCGCAGTCACCCATGTGGGAGTCCAGAAACCCAATCACCATGCTACCTGCTAGCCTCATTATTGGTTTCTCTAGGTTTGGGGTTTTTCATGGCTCTGGCTGGGAATGCTGGGTGACTCAGTTTGTATCTTCCTGTAGGTGGATGGAAAGGGGTCCATCAAAGAGCTCTTCCCAACAGGAAAACAGCTGGAGCCCTTAGTTGCACCTCTGGCAGATGGAAAAGTGGCTGTGGGTCAGGATGATCTCACTGTGGTGCTCAACGAGGAGGGGATCTGCACGCAGAAATGTGCCCTCAACTGGACAGACATTCCCGTGGCCATGGGTGAGACCAACAGTAGCTGCTCTTCCCCACTTTTGCTGGGTCGTGTGCCATCCTGCATGGCGGAGTCCCTTTCACAGCTTTAGTAGACTCGTTTAAGTTGTCAGTCACCAGCCACTCTCAGTTCCCCTTCTTCTAATAGGTGATGTTTTAGGGTCATTAAAAATGGGGCAGTCTAGTTTTTGCAGGAAGTTGACATTTGCTTCCAAGAAAACATAACAAAAATGTACATTTTAGGAAGTAATTGTCTATTGCAAGTATTTTTTTCTTTTTTGAGGGAGTTTTTGTTTTTTTTAAGAGAGAGTTTTTTTTTTTAAGGGAGAGTTTTTTTAATATAAAGAATTATTTTATTTAACTTTATTTATTTATTTTAATTTGACTAGAGAAGCACAGAGAGAGAGGAAGAGAGTGATAAAGTGAGAAAAGAAGTCGCCAGGTCCAAGACTCTAACTGCAGTCAGCCATGTGGGAGTCCAGCGCACTTAACCACCTGCCAACTACCTGCCAGCCCTGAGAGAGAGATTTTTGCTATAGGGTATGTGTGCTCGCCAGAGAGACAGAGAAAGGAAGACAGAAAGTGAGAAATAACCCCCAGAGGGATGGCCATACCCCAATCCTTTCTCCTCCATTCTCTTGGGATCTTGGGCACATACGCACACATACCTGGTGTGAGGTTTAAGCTGTCAGGTCCAGGACTTGAACCACAGTTGACTATGTGGGAGTCCAGCGACATAGCCATTATGCCATCTACTAGTCCCTGTCCATTGTTATTTTAGTTTCATAGTTTATTTTCTTCTATCTTCTTTGTAATGGTTTTATTGTGTCTTCTGTCAAATAGACTATGTTTGGAAAGAGGTGGAAATTCCTTATTTCTGTTATACATGTAGCTCATATTGAAGGATTTTTGAGATGGTGGTTATTGCTGTTTTTTGTTTTGTTTTTAAATATGCTAGAGGGTGCATGTGCTTGACTCAGAGAGACAGAGAGAAGGAACATGAGAATGCAACCCCCATGAAGGATAGTTGTGCCACAATCCCTTCACCTCCATTCTTCCTTTTGAGATTTTGGGTATAAGCGCCCGGCATGTTTTTTAAGTGTATAGGTTCCAGACTTGAACTGCACATTCTGCCATGTGGGGTCCTGCCACCTTACCCACCACCAGCTGGCCTGCTGCTGTTGTTTTTACACGTTAGAGGTACAGGCAGCATCTAAGTGTCAGTCTCTGTCCTCATATTAGTGTTTCCGTTTCTATGCCCACTTTAGGCTCCCAGAACTATAGGTGTTACCTGAAGCAGAACCACCCAGGCAACATTTTATTTTCAGTCAAAAGAATAAGCATTATTCCAGGAGTTCCTTCTGTGAAATGAAGTATATAGACATGCTTTCTGACTTTAAGGACTCTAGCTCTGGAGACAAGGATTACATCTTGGTTAAAGAGACAGAATAAGGCACTGATAAGGTATTAAACAGGTTGAGTTAAAATTCAGCAGTTCACAGAAAGGAAATTTTATGGTTTAATTCAGCAAGTGCTGTTCTTAGCACTAGGGGCTGACCTCATGGAAGACAATTCCTCCACGGACTGGGGATTGAGTTGGGAGGGGGTTGGTCCTGGGATGACTCAAACGCACCACATCCCCCAGGGACCCTATGTCTACCACTACTGCATTGCAGCATACAGTGAAACAGTCACACAGCAATAGGGGTCACACTATGAGAATCCAGTACCGTCACTGATCCAGCAGGAGCCAGAGCCTGGGTGACGATGCCAGCAATGGGGAATGCCTGCAAACACAGACAAAGACTCTTTTGCTGTCCTCATTGCATGCCTGGTGCAGGGGTGGTGATGGTGGTGGTGGCGGGGCGGGGGCAGCAGGCTGTAGACTGGTGCTCCTCCGCAGCCAAGGAGTTAGGGACCTCTGGTTTAATTACTGAGGAGGAAGATTCATTAGGAAATGTATTCATTAGGAAATGCCAGGCAGGGGGTTTGGGATCTGACTTGTAGAAAAATTCCCATTCATTCAAAGCAGAGAGTAGTTTGAAAAGTAAGTGGAAATCAGAAGACCTTTTGATTTGTCTGTGGACATTCCAGAGACCAGCTTGGCTGAAAAAGGTAGTGTGAATTACGAAGGAAGAAGATAGGGCCAGGTGTGAGAGGTCCATGAGAAGCTCTGAGATGCCAATGGATTCCTCAGTGGTAGAACGTCTTCATAAAAGCATCATGTTCTAGGGTGGAGATTCTGATGGTGGTTAGAGATGTATAGACCAAAAGGAAGATAGGTTGAAAGGGCAGCAATTTAGAAGGTATAGGCTTATGCATATGAACAAGCCTCATGAGCAACTGGTTTCATGGTATTCTAGGGACCTAGTTTTCCCTTCGGAAGAGGAGCCTTGGGAGATGCGATGAAGATGTGTGTGACGTACGTGAAGTGTGTCTGCGGCTCCCCAGTAGCACCCCAGTGCCTTTAGCAGTGCTTCTCAAGAACATTTCTGCGCCGTAACATTCTGAGGCACTCCTCACTTCCCAGTGCTTCCATAGTCGGGTCAGGTCTGTCATGGCACCCTGTCACTCTAGATGCAGCGAGTGGTGTCTCTGTCCTCTTAGAAGCTCTGGGAGACTTGTATCTTGATCCACTTTGAAACCTTACTACGTAGTGCAGTGCTCGAAAATCCAAGCCTCTTAGGAAATGCTTGCTGAATGACTGAATCATTATGCACCAGCCACTCTGTGGCAAGTTCTAAAGATGTAAAAGACCCAGGCCATCTCTGTTGTCACAGTGAGGGGGAAACTGAAGAAATAAGATATGACAGCCAAAAGAGGTTTTTTTTTGTTTTTTGTTTTTTGTTTTTAACAGGTTATCTTTTTTATTAAATCAGACCTTATTCAAGTAAGCCAGATTTTAAAAAGAGAAAATATTTGATGTATTTATATAAGTTAGCACTAAAGAAAATTGTACTGACTTTTCAAAATGGGGCCAGCATTAAAAAAAAAAGAAAACTGAATAACATGCTTTTTAATTAGTAAGATGAAAAATACCAGTATAACAATAGCAACAGCACGAAAAATGATACAGAGCTGCCCCTGTAACCTAGTCTTTAAGGAAGCTGGTTCCGGGGACCAGCAGTTAGTGTAATGGCTATGTCGCTGAACTCCCATGTGGTCAACTGCAGTTCAAGTTCTGGACCCGGTGGCTTAAACTCAAGCCGGGCGCGTGTGCTTGCATGCCCAAGATCCTGAGAGGAGAACGGAGGAGA